GTAATCACTTTTGGTTATGGAGCACTTAAAATGTGACTAGTCCAAATGGTATAAGTATAAAAAACACACTGATTTTTTATCTAAATCATTTTCATATTAATGACATGCTGCTATGATGATGTTTGGGTATACTGAGATGATACAATTCATGACTAATATTAATTTCACTTTTTAAAACTTTTATAATGTGGTCACCAAAAAAATATAAACTATACACGTGACTTGATTTGTGCTGTATTTCTATTGGACAATGCTGATCTAAGCTAAAAACCACTAATTTTACTGTGGGCATATTCCCAACAGAAATGTATATGTATGTGCACTAAAAGTCAAGGACAAAAATACTCATAAAAGTGCTATGCACAATAGTCAAAATTTGGAAACAGTCCAAAAGCCCATGCAATGGTGGAATGAATAAATACATTGTGGTGTTATTATAATATGAAATACTATTTAGCAACAAAAATGAATAAACTAGTTACATCTAGTAACATGGATGACTCATAATTTAAGTGAAAGTGACCTCATTTGGTTATATAAAGTTTTAAAACCAGGAAAAATAAGCTACACAAGTAGAAATCAGAATAGTCTTTAACTCTGGGGAAATACAAGGGGTGATCTAAAAGAAACCGGAATTATCTTTTAGAGGGTGGGCCTCTTGTAGTGCACTGGGAACTTGTTCCTCCAAATCCAGTGGTCAACCAAAATTTTTATCTGGAATTTTTGAGAAGGGTGCATCACGATTTGCAGAAGAAATATCCCAAGTTGTGTCAAACAGGTCACTTCCACCATGACAACACACCTGCCCACACCGTGCTGAGTGTTGACCAGTTTTCACCAAAACTGGCATGACCCCCATGCCCCTCCTCCCTATTCACCCGATCTCGCCCCCAGGGACTTTTTTTGTGTGTAGGGACTGGGGGGAGGCTATGGAAAACTGGCAGTGTTCTATGACTTGAATGAGTGGTGGTTACATAAGTGTTTGTGATAATTCATTGAGATGTCCATTATGGGCATTTTTCTGCATGCATGTTATTCTTCACCAAAAAAAAACACAATAATAATAAAAGGGGTTAGTGAGGCTTCTGGTGATTTGTTGCAAATGATTTAAAGAAATGTAAGACATTCTTGAAAATTAAGCTTTTTACAAGTGATCCACCTATTAGAAATTGCAGTAAAGCAAATAAAGAGTTGTTTTTTTAAAGATCATATTTTGCCCAGTAAGGAAATACTGATACTTTCTAAATAACTCTAGGTATGATTCTCCAGTTAAAAAATAATTTTTAAAAAATTCTACACCCTTTGCTTGGTCACTAAGCTTGGCATGACAGTTTATTTCCAGACAAATATATCAATAATGTTAACAAAAATAAATTATAGAAGTTGAGTTTGCAGAATTAAAGGGACAGCCTAACCTTTTTTTATGTTTAGGATTTCTTTGTGGATCTGATGGAATCTATGACACTTCCTCTTGAAAGTGCATGTATGTATAGTATGTATAATTTAACATAGGCAATATATTATACATAATTTTGGGTGATTCACCATGGCAGTTTATCCAATCTATGTTATTTGGTAGATAATAGTCTAAAGTAGAAAGAGTTCAAGGGACACAGCTGGTAGTGGAAAAACTAGGACTGATATTAAAGACTCAATTTCCAAACCAGTCATTATTCTTTCAAGTGAAGCAGCTGCTCTTCTCTTTGCCTGTGTTCCCATCTGTGTACTGTTGTCCACATTGAATTCTCATGTAATTCTGTCCTTATCTATTTGCCTACTTGGGAAGAGTCTTTAGCTGTGAAGATGAGTCCTTTATCTTCTGTTAAAAATAGCATCCCTTTATTTCCCTGTATCACTGTTATTCGTGTATATGCATTATCTTTCCAACTACATTGTAGTGACCATGTTTTATTTATCTTTGCTTTTCCCAAACCACCTACTTAAGTACAAGGCATACGACCATTATAAAATAAGCATCTGCTGAATTGAAAGAACATGCAAATATCTGATTGAAATTTCATTACAGAATTATATCTCCTCATGACAGGTTGTTATGAACTCAGATTCTGGTATCTGACTGACCTAAACATGAATTTGGCTCTGCCATCTACTAGCTGTATGGTGTTGGGTGGATGACTTAAACTGAGTCTGACCTAGTAAATTTGATAGTACCAAACATACTTCCTAAGATCATTATGAGGATTAAAGAAAATATAATGATCTATATAAAATATCTCAAGCAGTCTCTGGCATAGTAAATACTCAGAAAGTAGCTATGAGTTTCGTTATGGACTACTCAACTCTGAATTAAAGATTCAGTTGGAAGAACACAGACTTAGAGTCTTAGAACCAGACTGGTCAATAGTCCAATGGATCTAGGAATTGTTTATACATTGTTCTAACAACCTCTGCCTTTGCTTAACTTATCTCAAGTAAGAGGGGATTAACTAGAACTGACTAAAGCAGCTCCAATTTTTCCAAAGTTCCTTCTTATTATTAGGTTGCACCATATGAATTGCTGTTTGCAGGCTGAAGGGATCAAATTATCAATAATTTCTAAGAAATTGACTACAAATTTGCCTTTGTGTTACTCTCTCTCACTGTACTTTAATGTCCACTCTCTTTTTTCCTGTATGACAGCCCTGTAGAAATAGTGGGGAATCAATGATGAACATGATAGACCTAGCTCCTGCCTTCATGTAGGAGTACATGCTTGTCAAAGAGACAACAAGAAAATAGGCAATTATGTATCATTTTCAGTCTCAAAGAGGTAGGAAAAGAACATTTCAAGTAAATGAGGGAATTCCCACAGAATATATCATACGTGAAGATTTGCGTGTATACAGTAGCACAGTCCAACAGAACTTTTTGTGATGAGAAAAATGTCCTGTATCTGCACTGTCCAATATGATAACCACTAGCTACATATGATGATTGAGCACTTGAAATATGGCTAGTATCATGTGATTGAAGAAATGAAACTGTAATTTAACTTAATTTTATTAATTTAAATTTATATAGCCACAAATGGTTAGTGGTTACCTGATTGAACAGAGCAGATATAAAGGAAGAAGAGACAATGACAAGAGATGAGGCTGGAAAAGTCAGCAGGGTTCAGACCCAGACAAACCTTGAGAAACACATTAATCATTGTAGACTTTATCCTGAGAGCCACTGTAAATCTCGGAAGGATCTTAAGCTCTAGGGAATAACACGATCAGATATGGGCTTTAGAAAGATCAGATATGAGCTTTAGAAAGATAATTCTGATTGTCTTGGGGATATGGCTAGGAGATGGATAGAGATATTGACCTGATCTTCAGAAGTTTGCTCTATAAGGGGAGAGATGGGAATAACAAAGGCAGAAAAGTGACTCAAGGATATCTCAGAGACACAAGTTTGTAAGCCATCATACCCCATCACATAAAATACTCATATATGTATTATATACATGGTACATAGTATTTATTAACAGTAATGACCCACACTTCTTGCCTTTTCCCTAGTTGCTCACAGGGCATTTAGCCTTCTAAGTATTTCTGGGTGTCCCTACAGTATCTAAGCTCACAAGTAAATTTGTCAACAGAGTATCCACATAGCATCCACTCTGTTCTTTCTCCTTTCTGTATATTTTACTCTGCTCTTCTCATGGTCCCTATGAGGCTGCTTTTGACTGTGGTCACATCAATGGCCCCAGTGTTCCCAAAGTCATTAATTCTTAAGGTTCCATACGGTCACTCTGTTCTCTGTGGAAGGGTAGGAGAGCCCCCACCAGAGTAACATAAGACACATGGTTTTACACATCCTTCTCTTTGTCCTCAGATAATTTCTTAAACTAGCTCCTTATGGCTCCCTCCCCCCCAACTCCTAAGTCTTACCTATGGACTAAAACAAAACAAGACAAAAAGACAAAAATAAGTCCCCAGGAACCGATGATGGTAAGCTGTCATTGGGTATTTCCTAAAGAACTTCCCCCCCCCCCAGGAACCAATACAGACATGCGCATGGACACCACATCCCCCACCTCCTCCTTGACACACACCACACAAAGCGCATACACCTTATGCATGAAGTCCTCTTTACTGTTTAGCCCTTCAGCTGACACATCCATAGAAGGCTGAATTTCACTTCAGGATCAGCCAGCACCATCTCTATTCCATATGTGTTCCTGCAAGAGAAATGGACAAAAAAGTATAGAAACAATCACAACCCAACAGTCAGATGTGACACTATGCATGGAGCTGAAGCAATAGCATGGCATAATGCAAAGGGCGTGGGCTCTGGTGCCAGTCTGACCTGGATTCAAATCTCCGTCTGGTCCCTTTTACCAAGTGGTCTTGAACAGACTGAGTTTTCAATACTAGAAAAATACCATCTTTTGGAGGTTTGTAACAATAAAAATAGCACACGTGCAGTGCCTGGACCTAGAAGGTGCTCAGTAAATGAAGCTGCTATCACCACACTAGTGTTGGAAGCTCAGGATGCCACCTGTGAAGGGGGCACAGAAGAAAGACCTAACTGCCACCCACCCCTGATATTTAAGCAACCCTGGGATCTTATCAGATTACAGCTTAGGACTCATCTAGCATAGTTTCCTCATTTTATGGATGAGGACGCTAAAGCCAGAGACAAGAAGTGACCTGATGAGGGTCAGGCAACAAAGTAGTAACAGAGCCAGGTCAAGATTCCCAGTGTCTCTAGAAAGGCTCAGCCCATTGGTCCTCTCAGCTGCCCAGACTCCGCTCTGGCCCCCTATTTCACTCTGCTATGACAATCTCTGCTTCTGCTTTGGACCTGAGGGCGTCCCCTCAATGGAGTGGCAGGAGAAACAGGAGGAGATGAGGTGTATTCTCGGTGAAGACCGGGACCGCCATCCCCGTCGCCATGGCAACCCCAGCTCGGTGAGCTAGGACTCGCTCCTCCGGCGCCCCCTCCCATTCACGCAGCGGACGTGACACGTGCGGCGGGGTCACGTGTTGTTGTTGGGCCGGGAGGGCTGCTTCCGGGTCAATGCAGGACACTGGGCTCCGGAGGCCGGAGTGGGGGACGAGGTGAAGCGAAGCCGGGCCGGGGCCGGCCGGGACCAGGCCCGAGGCTGAGCGGCGACGACGGCGGTGGCCGGGAGGGGGGAGGAGAGGCGCAGCCGCAGCAGCTCCCCCGCCTCCCGGGCTGAGGGGTGAGTGGAGCCGGGCCCTCCGGCTCTGCCAGGTTCTCCAGGCCCGAGGCGCTCCCCTCCGGAACCGAGACTCAGAGGGCCGCTCCTGAGGGCGCAGTGCTAGGGAACGCGGGAAAGGACTCGGAGCTGGACGGGGTCTGCCCGGAGCGGTGTGGGGATGGAGACCTGCCCTGGGCCCAGAGCGAGGACGGGGCCTTGCCCGGGCTGGGGCGGAGCAGGGAGGGCGCAGGGCTGGGAGGGGGAGGCTGGTCCCGGGTTGGAGGAGGGCGTGTGGTGGAGTCTGTAAGAGTTCTGGGAGAATCCAGGCTTCTCACGGGGTCCGGCGTGGGGGATGGGAGGATGCACCCTGGCTGGTAGGATTGGAGAGGTGTCTGGGGCTGCTGGGGACGTAGGACACTTGTCTCTGACATACTGAAACCCCCTCGAAAGAGGACATGTCCCAGGGAGGTTTGGTGCGGAAAGGGTTGGCATACCGGCTCCTGGAACACTAGGGCTGCTCCTTCCTGGGGCTGGTAAAAGGATGTGGTAATTAATAAGGGCTTTGGGAAAATAGATTTCCCCCAAGCTGGGAGACATTGAGAAGGAGGGCTTTGGAATAAGATGGGGGCTGGCAGGAAGGTACCCTTTCTTGGGGTCTTGAGGAGAGTAAGGATCTGTGTGGAGCTTCTCTCTTGAGAATGAAGGGGATACAGAGTTCGAGGCCCTCCACTAGGAAGACCTTCTGAGAATTGGCGAAGGGAGCAAATTTAAATACTGTCTTTTCTTGGGACGCAGTGATTCCAGAAGTTGTATTGAGGAAAGTTGGTTGGAAGTGTTGAACTGTATACAGTTCGTGGAGAAAGGAGGAGCCTTCTTCTATTCTGAAGGTTGCTAAGTTACAAAGAGCTTGTAGGCATGCCTAGAGCTGTTTGGGGGAAGCTCCGTGGTTTCAAGTCTAGTGAAGGCTCAGCTGGGACTTGCTCCTGTTCAGTTTATGCTGCCGTAGAGTTCTTAAGTAGGTTTCCGTCAGTCCATCTTGAGCAAAGAGAGTGTAAGTGGGTGCTGAATACTAAAGAAAACATTGTCTGTTTCCTGAATCATTAGACCTAGATCGCTAGGGTAGTAACTTTCAAACTTTTTGGAAACAAAACAAAACAAAACAAAACATGCCTCAACAGTAAGAAGTACATCTCTTACATTGTGATTTAGTACATACCTATGTATGAACAAAAAGTTTCACAAAGCATTATTTACCCTTATTACATGGGATACATTCTGGTAATTTCTATTTTATTCTCTTTCATTAAAAAAATACTAACAAATCCAATCAGTTGGTTTATAGGTCCCAACTTGCAGTTTGAAAAACACTATTTCAGAGGCACATTTCTTTAGCTTCTTTCAGCATCCCTATATTGTAAGCTTCTAGAGAGCAAGGATGATTCTAAGAAGATAGATTTTTTTGAGAGAGACAGGGGACCGATAGGTACAATTGACTGCTTCAGTTGTTTAGATGTTTGTAACGTCGCGTATTTGACTCATGTTTTCTTAAGTACCATAATCTTTGATATATTAATGTTGCCTGATCATTTGATTGACGAAATCTTATGTGTGTATTTTAATTTTTCCTACCCTTTGCTGTGTCTAAGAAAGATGAGAGGCCTAGTTCCATTTAGTTGCTTTATCACTACAACATAGTTAAGGAAATTTTATTTTACTGTTCCAGTGTTGTAAAGATACACTGATTTCTGCTATTTAAAGACATCTCAAACTCTTCTTACTCAAGTAATTATTACTTGGTATACATTTTGCTACATGATTAAAGGTATACAGTTTATGGCTTTGGTATACATTTTAAACTTAATCATAAGCCTAAATATAACTTTGAATCAGTTAACATCTTAATTCCCCCGTGAAAATTTTACACGAGGTCCTTAGAAAAACTCGTTTTAATGCATAATAAACATTAATGACTGTTGGTGAACAAAGGGAGAGCCCTTAATGTATTGCAGAGTTAAAATCCTTTGAAAAGTTGTCACACAGCCTATTGCTGCAGGACATTGAGTGTCAAATGATGTTGCCTAATTTCAGCAGGCAAATTTATAGGGTATTATTTAAGACCCGTTTAATAGTGTTACCTTTTGTTGAAGATGAGTTCATCTTATTTGTAGCATAGAATTCAAAGACACAGTCATTAGGAAAGAATTGCCCCAAAATAATCTTCATCAGTAGGGTCACACTCTTGATTAGATCCCTTATGAAAATATTCTATCATCTTCAAACTTTGTGTTATAAAATATCTCTCTCTTTAACTATTTATTGACTAAATCTTGGTTACTGATAGAGTGGTTATGTTGGCATGTATCAGGCATCCTTTAAAAATTGTCTTTTAATCAGGTAAATATTTGTTTAAAAATATTTAGCATTAAAGAGTGTTTAAGGTTTTCTTTTGTGGTAGTTGTTTGGAATGTCAAGGAAGTCTTATTCATTTCATTTTTCTGGGAATCATGTGTACTTGTCAATAAACAGTTATGGAGAAGTTACCCTGAGTGATTGTGTGTGTTTTTTTTAATAGTTTTTTTTCTTCTCTTGACCTTCAGACTCTTAAGTATGTCTACTTATAGCAGACTTTTTTTCCTCTTCTAGCTTTTGCTTCCAAACTGCTATTGGTTTGGAAATCAGATATTTAATTTGTTATGTAATTCTTCCCCCCCCCCCCTTTTTTTGTGTGTGACATGTATTTGCCTATTCAGAGGCCAGTTTACCAATCTTTTACTAATCTCTTAGTCCTGGGCTGTATTTGAAATAAGTGAGCTCTTTATATATTGTGGCCTAGACAGCAATATAAGAAAAAATTCTAAAAACAGTGTGAAACTGATGGCGATTAAATTTGGACTTAAAGGGTGAAGAAATGATTTACCATTTCTCCCTTTTTCAGGTTACCCTACTTTTTTATTTCTTTGGGATTAGAATGATAATAACCTAACTATTCTCATAGTTTGGCTCATAACTCCACGAGAGTACTGTTCCAAAGAAGATTGCTATGATTATTTCATTTTCCTCCTTAAAACCAGCTGTTTTTCAGTGTTGGCACTGAATAAAGCCCATAGTATTTAGCTTGACATTTTTGATCTTCTGTAGCCTTTCTCTCCTTTTTTTCTGTCATCATCATTCCATTCCTAAATGCAGATCTTTCACCTGCCAAGGCCTCTCTGCTCATTGTACCTTCCTTTGTGTGTAAGATTATCCCTGAAAGTCTCTGTACAAAATGTACTCTCTTTCCTCATGAAATCCTTCTCATACTTGTTTCATTTCAGATGACCCCTCCAGTGTGAAGTCTTTCTTGCTTGTGTTATCTGTACTGTGTTTCCTATATTGCTTTGTATTGTTTGTGTACTTTGTTTTTTATCCCCTTGTAGATTGTAAGCCTAGAGGACAGGAGGGTCAACTATTCTTGAATCTGTGGGACATCCAGTACAGGGTCTGTCAGAACATAGTTCACAGACCAAGTGCTTCAGAATTGACTGAATTTATGGTTAAAACTCAGCTCTCTGGTGAAGGCTAGAAATCTGCATCTTATCACGCTACAACATGATCCTTTAGTATAGAGGAAGTTAAGACTCACTAACCCAGCATGATAATTTAAATTACAGTAGGTACACAAATAATTTTTGAGCAAGTGATGTTAATGAATAGTTCAGCAGATCGGTTTAATTTTAGGTCCTTGAAGTCAGCCCAGATTTTAATCTGGCTCTGTCACTCATTAACCATGGGACCATAATCTCTAAGTTTTCTGATCTGTAAAATGGGTCGATGGTATCCTTATAAGAGTGTTGTGCGAATTAAATGAGGTAATACATACAAAACAACACAGTGCGTGGCACGTAGTAAACTTGTTATAGATTTTATCTGCTCTTGTAATGATGATTAGCATAACAGTGATCATCACAGTAATGAAACATGGTCGTGAGAAGAGTTTCCAGGTCATTCTTTGCTCATGATTTCAATAATTCAGGCTTAAAATATTTTCTATTTAGGTTAATAGGTCATAGACCTATAATGTGTTTTGCCTTCTTGGAAGGAACTTCCTGGGCCCTGGCGGTTTCTCAACCTCAGCTTCCTAAGTAGCTGATACTACAGGCAGATGCCACCATGCCTGGCTAATTTTTCAATTTTTTGTAGAGACGAGGTCTCACTGTGTTGTTCCTCAGGCTAGTCTTGAACTCAGGCTCAAGTAGTCCATCCACCTCGGCCTCCCAAAGTTCTGGGATTACAGATGTGAGCCCCTGTGCCTGGCCCTACTGTCTTTTATCTTCCAGCCCTCCTCCCACACACACTATACACTAGCTACTATACATTTTTAATTTGCATCTCTTTCACTCATTTGTGCCTATAAACCTTCTTTCTCCTCTTTTTCATCTGGTGAATTCTCTTGTAAGACTTAGTTTTGCATGTGACCAACCTTAGTGAAAGTAATCACTTCCTCTTTTCTCAAAGTGCTTTGTCCATACTTTTATGTACATTTGTGTTCTTAGAGGGAAAAGGACTCAGCCCTGGCATGTGTTCCCACCTTTGCTAAAGAAGGAAGATGTTTGTTTATTTGACACATATCAGCTCTCCTATTTATCTGAACTTTTCTGCTCTCAGCTTTCACAGTAATGACTATAGCTTTCCACTTACTATATGCCACGCACTTAACAGAGGCTTCAAAAATTTTATTTTATTTTATTTTATTTATTTATTTATTTATTTTTTTGAGTTGAAGTCTCACTCTGTCGCCCAGACTGGAGTGCAGTGGCCGCTCCCAGCCACCGCAGCCTTGACCTGCTGGGCTCCGGCGATCCTTCCGCCTCAGCCTTCTGAGTAGCCGGAATTACAGGCATGCGCTACCACGCCCGGCTGATTTTTTGATTTATTGTAGAGATGAGGTCTTGCTGCCCAGGTGGGTCTCGAACCCGCGGGCTCAGGCAATCCACTCACCTCAGCCTCCCAAAGGCGCGGGATTACAGGCTGAGCCACCGAGA